AAAACAAGTGGCAAAGCAGGGAATTGTCGTAGAGCTTCCGGTCTCCTTTCTACTCCGTCATGGCTCCTCTCCGTCTCTTCCGCTGAGGAAGTGTCCCCAATGAAGATACACCCCAGGGCAGAACCATGCACCCCAGTTCCCACATTGGACATGCATGTGGGTCCTGCACACATTGGAGTCCTAGCTCCAGCTGCAAACACAAACATCTTCAAATCCATGCGAATTTTGGATTATGTCATTGTGATTTAACCATTCTTTAAAAAATAAGAACAAAGCATGACCTTCCTCTCCAAGTTTTCTAGGGAAATAGGCTCCAAAGAAGTCATGTGTTTATCCTGGTGCTCAGTGTCGCCGCCCCCCACCCCCCTGGCTGTGTACATACTGGTCTCTAGCACAAGTGGAGGTACTGAGACTCTGACCATTCCCTGGAATTTGGTGGCTGCCAAAGGAGAGTGAGAAGGCGGAAGGTGCAGAAACTGAGACAGTATCACAGGGAGAGGATTGAGGCCTGTGTCAGCAAAGGAAAAGCATCAGATATACAGAGATGTCAGTAGCCTGAAAACTAAAAGCAGTAAAGGCAGTCATGTGATCCCAGCCATCTGGTTAACCCAACATATCCTCAGTATTTTAAATCTAGAGCTAAATATAGCCTCCTTTCCAAAAAGTACTCAGCACATTGCACATTGTAGACAAGATGGAGCTTTGCGTGTGGTGCCTACAGACAAGGATATGGCGATCTAGACTGTGGTTTAGAAATCCCTAGTAAAGATGCAAGGCATTTCCTCTTTATTGTATCAGTTCTCTATTGCTTTGTATCATGCTCCCAAAACTTAGTGGCTTAAAACAGCCAACCATTACATTTCCTTATGATCTGTAGGCGGCCATGCAATTCTTTCGTCTGGGCTGACTCTCCTGCTATCCACCGACTGGTGGCATGGCTGGGCTGGATGGTCTAGGATGGCTCGTGCACGTGTGTGGTGATTGGCAGGATGGTTGTTTGTAGAGAGCCTCAACCTCGACTCCACGTGGTCTCTCATTCTCCAGCAGCAAACCGGGCATCTTCGCATGGTCGTCTCAGTGTTCCAGAAGCAGCAAAGGAGGACAAGCCCCAATGCATAAGAACTTTTTAAGCCTCTGCTTAAAGCTCACTTACTATTATCCCATTGGTCCAAGCCAATACCCATTCCAAGCCTAGAGTCAATGTGGAAGGAAACTCTACAAGGCCGTTGATACAGAAAGGCATTAATAAGTTGGGGGCCGTCACTTCAACAAATCTACCATGCTATAAGCCTGAGATTTAACTCAGCAGGTAGCAATTGTTTTCACCTAATGCCCATGTGAAAATAACTCTGAACCATCTTGTGGTTCATCCTTGTATGAAAAGGCAGTGTCAGATAAAACCATAGAAAGAGGACTCAGTAGTTCTAATAACTTCCCCTGCCAGTATGTGGGGTGGAAAGTCCCCCAAGTAGCTGGAGGCAGGAAGTGGTTGAGGTGCCAGACCTGGCCCAGCACCAGAAGAAAGGCCCTCACCTCCGACCCCCAAGTGCAGAGTAACCAGAGGCAGGTCTGGTCTCTGAGCTAAAGCAAGAGACACCACCAGCCTCAGAAAACATGGGCGGGTGATTGTCCCAGGCCAGCAAGGTCGTTTCCTAGGCCCCCGGTGAGAGGCTGATGACAGCATTTGAGCCGGAGCTCCAGAGGGAGAGATGTGGACAAGAACATGGGAACATTCAGTGTTCACATACCTGGGGGAACCGACAAACAGATTAAGAAACTATTCCTGTTTCCCAGGAGGAGGGAAGCAGCAGCAAAGTGAACTGATAGACGATCAGTAGATAATAAAACTTGTAACAACCATTTTCTTTTGAATGTCTACCTTACGCTGGGGTTTGTACTTAGCCTTTAATTTCGTGCTCACAACCTCCTGAGGGACTTAGTCCCATTCACAAATGAGGAAACTGAGTCTCAGAAAGGTTAAGTCACTTGGCCTATGTCACTGAGCTCAATGTGCTGGCCCAGGTTTGTCTGACTCCATAGGTCTGCTGACGGGGTCCACAAGAAAAAGCACCTTTAGGCAGCAAGGCCTGCAGAACCATCCTAACAGGGGAACTCTGAAAAGCCATCTCCCAGCAGGAACACTAGACGTTGTTCGTGTAAAGGAAAAGGAGGCCTTCAAAGATGGCATTAGCTTCAAAAGAAGGTGGTAACAGAAGGGTGAGGAAGGCCTAAAGAAAAGCCCTGCCATATTTATTGTTGGGGGTACAGGAACACCCAAAATCAGACATTTGCTCTGAACCTTCTTTCTATTCTGTGATCTAATCTTCACCCACACACCCCACTCACCTTCCCCATATTGAAAGCATCACCTTATAAGAGGGTCATTGATAAAGTAGAATAAATCTAATCAGAAATGACTGCGATGATGAGAAACCAGCAGGCTCTTGAACCAGGAGCTGCCAGCCATCTTTGAGTACCTGAGAAGCTGGGACAGGCCAAGAGTTCACTTGTTCCGTGTTGATCCCCAGGTGGCAACTAGAATCAGTGTGCAGATCCGTTGGGGGTGGGGGGGTGGGTACTTTAACTCCTAAAAAAGAACTTTAGAGGCACAGAGATCTTGTTTTGTATCTTGTCACCACCACCTAATACCCTTGTGCTCTTGAGTTTGGGTTTTCTGCCTATGTATTAGAAATGCACGTGCCTGCCAGGTAAATGAGGTGATGGCAAGGGCCCCACGTGGTGGCTGCCTCACACTGCTCATGAATGGAACCCTAGGGAACAGATGGTCTTGAGCAGTTAGGAGTGGCTGGTTCCTAGAGGAGCAGAGTGAAGGCTAGAGGCTGCCCGGTAGGAGGCTGCCTAGGGGCTCCCATCCTGGGTGCAAGGGTGGCTGAGGGAGACCTATAGTTCATCCAAGTGGGGTCTGTTTTGCACACGCTGGCCCATGTTTGCAGGTGAGTGATGTCCCTTCCACACCATCCCCTGGGTTGCTGGGCCAGGCAGTAAAGCCTGTCTAGCGTGGAGGGGAGAGACTGTGACTTGGATTTGACTTAGGTTGTTTTCCTATGGCGGGGGGGGGGGGGGGGGGGGGGGGCATGGTTGAATCATCAGATGAGCATCACCAAGGACGCCCCAAGGTCAAAGATACAAGAGAATGGATTATGACGACTCCCAGAGGCCTCAGGCAAGGAATTTGCCAGGCTGGATTAGGGGCCCAGAGCCACCCAGGCTTAACACTTTGTATTTAGGATTGGAGTTCGTCAGGCTCAAGTGTTCACCCTGTTTGTTGCCACAGGAGGGAACACCGGCAGCATCTCAATCAGATGAGCCCACGTTCTGTCCCTTAGGTGCACTCGGCCTCATTGGGGGTTCAGTGCAGAGGTCTTGGCCATCCCCCATCACCAAGCACAGATTCTGCCCAGCTGCCATTGGCTCTGTGTGTGTCCTTTCAAACACCCTCAGGTGTGAAAGCTATGGGGGCGGGGGGGGGTGGAATTTTGGAAAGAGAACACATTTAATTGGGGCCCCAAATACTTAAACCCTGGGTGGACTCAGCCAGGGTAGTGTGTTGTTTTAGTCAGAAATGCCGGAGAGCTTGTGAGGCTGGTGATCCCTCGCCCCGGGGCGAGGAGCGGCAGCGGCGTGTCCCCTGGAGGAGGTGCAGATGTCTTGGGACACTAGGTGCTGGCCCTTGGTGAGGGGCAGTGACGAAAAGGACAAAAGTGGTGCTCATTCGAAGGTGTAAGATTGGGATCTGTTAACACAGAGGCCGGTTGCCGGATGTGCAGGCTCAATTGGGAGGTACACATGTATCTCCGTCAATCTTTTAGCAAATGTTCTCTTTGGTAGAAAATCTGACATATTCCTTAAAGGCGTGGTTCTCAAACTCCCCTGCAGGGCCCTTGGGGGTGGGGGTGGGGACCAAGGAGCTCCAGGGCTCTGGTTCCTGCTTCATGACCTGCAGATATGCTTTAAAAAACGAAAAAAAAACAAACAAAAAAAACCCAAATTCAGCTTATTGAGATATAATTCATATACCATACAATTCACCCAAAGGGTACATTTCAGTAGCTTTTAGTATATTCACAAATTTGTACATCCATAGATGAGCTTTGATCTAATCGTGTCTATCGGGGCTCTGAAGGAGATTGTATTTGAAGTAGGAAACGATTCTGCCTCTAAAACCAGGTTGGAAATGACTTATAATCTTATTGTAGTTAAAGAGCCTTTTCTGAAGAGAATGTGATTTTTAATTTCTAGTTCAAACGCCAATGAGAGCCAGGAAGTAAACTTGGTACCTAAGACTGATGGGGTGAACCCTTGAGCAAATTCACAGAAGGGTCATTTAGGGCTTCATTTACCTTTTTTTTTTTTAAGTCCTTTTGCACAGTTCTGAGGTGGTTCAAAGGAAATGAGAATGCGGATGCCGCTGAAATAGCTCATTGGTCAGGATGGAGGGAGGTCTCTAATTAGCAGAGGGAACTGTTTAGCATAGGAACAAATCCTGTGGCACACCCAGCTGTCCCTAAAGGCATTACTGTGTGACATGTGGCAGTGATTGACGTTGAGGTTAATGATAAAAATAAAGAAGCCCAGAGTCATTTTAGCAAAATGTTCATCAAAAAGGGTTTCAGATTAAGAAGTTGGGGGTCAGAATGGGGTGAGTGTGAGCTGGTCCACGTCAAGGCTTCATTGTCTAGCTCACTGTAAGCGCTCAGTAAACTTCCTTTACATTTTTCTTTGGAAAGGTCATGCTGTAAAGTATCTCATTCCCTGATATCTGATAAACCATTCACGAGTTGGTTTCCTCTTGTTAATTTGAAGGGCGCATTCCTGTCAGGCCTCATTTGGGGCAAAGACATAACCTATAGCGTGCTGTTGTTCTGCCACTAGGATTCACACTTGCCTGCCAGAGGCCTGGGCTAATGGGTCTATTTTCAGTTGACAAACTCAGTTTCCCACCTCGGAACACATGTTTATCGCCTCTGCTTTATCCACAGGACATGTTCCCGATTTGAGGTGAAACCATGAAGAGGAGATAGAACCAACAATAATGCTTTTCCGCAATCGCTTCTTGCTGCTGCTGGCCCTGGCTGCACTGCTGGCCTTCCTCAGCCTCAGCCTGCAGTTCTGTGAGTCTCCCGTGCTGCCTGCTGGTGGGAGGGGAGGGGGCTTCGCTCTGACGTAGAGGGCCCTCCAGACGAACGAGTCGGCCCAAAGACTTTGTTTTTCAAATGAACAATGAGGTTTAAAATGAGTCTTTTTATTATGGGTGCTATTGGTGGAAGGCTGGGAGTAGGAATCTTAAACCGCTGAGTGGAGTTTTGCGTGTCTTCCTTGGCTGTGAGGAGCAAGAGCGCTCACTGGGCCTTGTGATGGTTTTTTGGCTTCTGCACAGATTGCTCAACTGCCTGGTTATTCCTGGATTCGTAGGTTCCCAGTTTGTTTTCTTGTCATGCCAAGCCACATTGAGCAGAGATGTTTGGTCCACTGGCTGGTTCTTTGAGGGTTGGGTGTCTCTTTTATGTTCAGTGAGCTCTGGGGCTGGAGTTGTTGGGGAGGATAGGGGATTTGGTCACCAGGACCCAAGTCAGCCCCCTGGGTAGCAGGGACTGTGCGTGGTAAGGCAAGAGCACAGCGGAGGAAGCCAGGCCACAGACCTCACCACCAGTTCTTTGCCTTTCACTGGGAGCCTGTGCTCAGGCGGGGCCCCACATCTGTGCACCCCATTGCTCGCCCAAGAATAACCATCCTCAAACACAGACCCGGTCCTGGCAGCTCCTTGGTTGTCACCCTTCAGGAGTGGCCCATGGTCTCAGAGGCCCTTTGCCCTCCTGTGGCCTCTCTCTCACCTTGGACTTGATGACATAGCATTGCCAAGTTGCTTGGCATTCTCTCCACGTCCAGCCTGTTCTCCGTGCCCGGATCCCCTTGGCCCCCCTGCCTGGGTTGCTCCCCTCCTCACCTTCCTCCCTTCCGCTCCATAAAATGGTTCACTCAGCCCTTTTCTACCCCAGGAACCTTCCATGCCCCCCCCCCACTGAACTTGGTGCTTCTTTGATGTACACCCAGAATGTTCTGAACCTGTGCCCCTCTTTCACGAGCCATGCAGCATCATTATTTTCAGTTCTTGTACCTTTTCTTCCTACAAGACTGTCTGTTCTCTGAGAGCAGGGGCCATGCCCTGTTTCCCTCTGTCACCAAGAGGCTGCACTGCCAGCCACACAGTAGGTATTTCATGAATGTTTGTTGAATGAATGAATGCATCTGTGCCTGCTCTGAAAAGCAGGCCGACCTTCCTTCGCTTTCCTTCCGGCGCTGTATACTTGAAGCTGAGAAAATGTCTGTGCGATGCTGGGAATTGTGTTTCTGCTGTCACCTACACTCCTCCCTTTTACCTCCTCACCCTGATGGGTGAGAGACAAGTGGTTGGCACCCATCACCGCCTAGGCCGGCTCTGTGAGGAGGTGGCGTTTCTGCCACAGTTTGAGTGACAGAAGACGAGCAGGTGGCTCAGCGAGTGGGATGTTCTGCGTGCGCTGTGGAGCGTGGGAAAGACTTGGCTTTTGGAATCAGTGGTTTGCAGAGAGGGGGCTTTGAGCGCGTTCCCGGATTCACCTCCAATTGGTGACAGCTTCCACGCACTCATCTGGTGTGTGTGACCGGCTATTTCTAGGAGTAAAGAGAATTTAAAATATTCATTTTATCCTTCCAGTATGGGAAAAGAGGTCAAGAGAAGGTGTGGGCATAGGCGGTTTAAAGAGACTCCAGATGGTTAATGAACCATAAAATATGAATCCTTTTCAAAAAGTGTGTCAGGGCTCTCAGTTTAATTGTTTATAACTTTTCATTAAAAATGTTTTCACGCTTTGGTTGGGAAAGGTAGGAGGTCACCGTCAACCTTGATTTTGTATTCTGAGACGCTGACAGGATCTGAGACATGAATGGGGGCTACTTGTATTTGCTGCGTTTCTTTTGCATGAGGTGGTTTCCACGTCACTGAATTGGCCTGTGTGTTTTGCTTATATAACTCTGTGAAAGTCCCTTCTGTTTTAGGAGAGGCAATACTCAGCCATACTTTTTTAAAGGAAAATTTTGCAAGGTAAATTAGCCTGCCTGGGTCTGAGCGCTTTCTTCGTGGATACGTTGGAGTTCGGAAAGATATAAGATATGGAAGCTCTTACTGCTCTTCTACTTCTAGGTAAACGGTAACTTTGGAATTTGCCCATTTCTGTGGAAATGGAGTTTAATTGCTGTATTTGTTTAATTGCTTTATTGGTTGCTAATTATTATGGTGTTAGAAACTCACTAATTCATAATACAAAGGTATATGCTTAAATAACACTTATATTTTTACCCTTAGCCCGAAATATGTGTACTTTTTCTTCATTTCTTTGACTAATTTTTGAGCACTAAATTAGCACGTATATTATTTTAGAAAATATATTTGAGGCAATCAAATATAACTTCGTTTTCTCATGCTTTAAGTAAACAGTATAGTTGTGCTTTCTGCCGTGATTATGTATTTTATTTTGTCTTGCTGGTAGTTTTCTTTTTCTAATGTTTTGAACATGAGAAAGTCAAGCTCCAGTTTACAATTTTAAAAATCAGGTTGTTTAAATAAGCATTTCCCTTCCTTTTGATACGGAAAGTACGTCTGTGAACCCACATATATTTATTAAGTGCTTATGTGTGTTGGACATTTTTCTATACTGTCTGGGTAGAGAAAGGATACAAAAAAGATTAAGATACAGTTTGTAGTTTCTCAGAATATGTTTATTTTAAATGGTACTAATTACTTGCTATATGCTAATAGCCTTTCATGAAAATTATTCATTTTGTATTTTTAAGTCCTTAATGTTTTTGAGTTTTGAAGTAGGAACTTTCTGAAATCCTTAATACTCAAATCGTAGATGGGAGCAAGTATGTCATAAATATCTTTAGTTATTCTAGTTACAATAAGTACAAGTGGAAAAACAGCATCTCAAATTGAGGGACTCCTTAGGTGGAACAGGGAAAGATCATCAGGATGTGAGGACTTGCGAAGAATTAGTTGGTTTTCCTTTCTCTGCTCATTTGTAATCATCCATTTTCCTGCTTCAGCCGTCTTTCCTTAGCTCTTATTTTATGCTTATTTCACTATGTTCCAACCGGCATTCCCAAAATGGCAGCTTGACAGGAACAGGCAGGCTCTGGAGTCACAGCCCGGGATTTGAATGGTGCTCTGCCACTTAGCAGCCCTGTACCCTTGGGCAAGTTCAACCTCCTGAAGCCTCTATTTCTTCTGTAAAATGAGTTCATTGTTGTTATAATAATTGTTGCTTGGCAACGCAGAGACCTTATGGGAAAACCCTTGGCTCGTGAAAGCATAGTCAACCTAAACCTTTTAAGCAGCCGTACAGGGTCCTGTCACAATGCGCCATCCTCAGAAAACCAGGGCTCTTGGTGTTTCGAAGGCTGCCGTGTCTTGTGTTACTTTAGCCACAAGTGTGTATTGGGGCCGGGAGGGGGGTGGGAGCTTTTGAAATATGTCATACATTTATTTGGTTTTGATCAGAATTCATTGGCCATGGTAGGGGTCAATCTATACTGGGCACGTGGTCCCTAAATCTGGGGGTCACCTTCTTGGGCAGGGCCCGGGTTGAACAGAGCAGGTTCCGAGAGACATGTCCAAGGTGGAGTAGAGATTCAGACCCTTGAGCCAAAGAAGGGAGTGTTACCCTGCAGAAGTGAAAGCCAGGGCTGTCTTCTGTATCTGAAACGCCCTTTCTGTAGAAAGAGTCAGGCCTGTTCAGTGTGACCATGGAGACACGCTTCAGTTAAACGTCAGGCGCAGCTTCCTAAAAGTCAGCGTCATGCAGAGGTGGGAAGGGTGATGTGCCAACTCTGGAGTGTCGCTCTATGAAGAGTACACTGTTAGGCAGGTCATTGCACCTGATCCCATTTAAAGTCTCTTCGGACTCCAAGGTTTTATGTAGTTTATACTCCTTGTTAATCCAGTGTCACAAGTATGCACAACTTTGTCCTTCAGCAAACGTCCCTTGAGTTTCCACTCTTTGCCAGGCCCTGGGCTGGGAGTTTAATCTCTCCAGGACCACATTAGCTCTATCTAGTGGAGGAGAGCCAGTTGCAGACACTTGGAACAGTGTGCCGCCTGCAGAGGTGAGAGGTGGCAGCACAAGGACATGGGAAAGAACCTAGACCCTGGAGCCAGACTGCCTGGACCGAATCCCTGTCCTCTGCATACCAGCTGTGTGACCTCAGGCACATCATTTACCCTTTCCATGCCTCAGTTTTCTCATCTGTAAAATGGGGATAATGAGAGTTCCTATTTCATAGGGTTGGTAAAGGATTAAGTAAGCTGATATTTATAAAACACCTAGAGCAATGCCTGGCACACAGTGATCACAATATGCATATTTATTAAATAAAATGAATTAGAGATCATTTATGGCAGGGCGATATGGGAGGATTGAGGACAAGAAGCTAATCCAGCTGGGGAGGTCAGGGAAGCCTCCCAGAGGAGGTGACATTCCAGCTTCATCCTTGAGGGATGAGTAGGAGTTGGCCGAGGAGGAAGCTGGGAAGAGCGTTCCTGGCTGAAAGAGGTGGGAATGCAAAGGCAGAGCTAGAAAGAGAAGGACCAGGCTGGTCACCTATGTTTAGCTGTGGAAGTGCATAGAAGCCAGGGCCACCTCCATCATCATACTATAGCTTGAAGGTGCAGGAAGCCATGGAAGCAGGAAAAACACCATCAGATTTGTGTCCTGGACGGATCACAGTCCGGTATAGTGTTTTCCAAAGTATGGTCTCCTGAGCACCTTGATTAGAGCGGCCCCCGGAGCTTGTTATAAAATCGAAAGGAGAGAGCACATTCTAGGCTCCTCACGACAGCTCAGAATCTTGGTGGGAGTGCGACCCAGAAATCTGCATTTTTAACCAGCTCCCTGGGTGAATCTGATGAACACAAATTTGGGCACTACCTGTTCAGAGGCTGGTGAGGGGGTGATGCTGGAGGCAACCCGGGGGCACGTAGGAGTCTGGCTCGGGTAGTTCAAAAGACACTTCCTGCACCCATCCATTCATGCATTCATTCACATAAACGTCTCGTCTCCATCTGGGACACCTGTGC